ACCAGTTTATTTCACTCCACCTCCTCCATATTAAGTGCAAGGCATTGAAGAGCCCTACCTATTTCCCTAACAAAGACACTACAACTTTCAAGTTGGTCAGATGACTGCCACCATTGTCCTCCTCCTCCAATACAAATCCCACTCCAGTTTCCCTAGCCTTTTAAGCCTCATAGGGCCCTCAGAATTCTTCCCAACTCACTCTAACCTCTTAACATGTGCTCTTTCTTATCTTAACGGTTCCCTCCTACCTCACAACTGAGTTGTCTCACAAACAGCAACTGCATTACCAGTTCATCTAATTAACAAATATTTCACAAAGCTTTTCAATTTTGGATCTTCACCCCAATATCCTTAAAGTAAATCAAATCATCACAGATGCCACTGGACATGCATCCAGTGATATTTCCAGCCTGCTAATAACAAGGCAGTGCACCACAAGGAAATGGCAGCAACCAATCAAATTAACCTTCATTTATAGCCAGTAATTCAAGAAGCTCTAAACTTCTGTGTAAAACCATCACAACAAACTGGATTAAATAATCAAAGATTGTAATCTTTTTTTAAATCTCAAACTAACGCCTTAAAGAATTATGGTTTTCTGGTCTGTTATCCTTAAAGGGCCTGTACTTCAGACCCACAAGTAAGTTACTAGAATCATTCTCCTTGCCTTAAAGTAGACAATCAGGAAGTCACCGTTCAACTGAAATACATTTCTATCACAAAGAAATTATGTTGAGGATGTTTAAGTTGGGGGTTACTTATGGATACCGGTAAGACTTCATAACAAGAAAATTGCACAAAAGTAGAATCTCATCAAACTGTTAACTGAGATTGTATGAGATTATAAACAATCTTTTTTTTTTTTTTTTTTTTGAGACAGAGTCTCACTATGTCTCCCTGGGTAGAGTGTCGTTGCGTCACAGCTCACAGCAACCTCAAACTCTTGGGCTTTAAGCCATTCTGTTGCCTCAGTCTCCCAAGTATATGGGACTATAGGCGCCCACCACAATGCCTGGCTATTTTTTGTTGTTGCTATTGTTGTTTAGTAGGCCCAGGCCGGGTTTGAACCCACCAGCCCCTGGTGCATGTGGCCAGTGCCCTAACCACCTACTGTGTTTCCCTGAAAGACACACTAGGTCTTATTTTCAGGGGATGCCTTATTTTTAAGTCTAATACAACAATCTACATTTACTCAAATACAGTTAAGTCATCTTCTTCTGGAACCTGACAGGGGAGCCGACCTTGTTGGTGGGGCTGACACTAGTGATGTGTCAACTCCTTTCCTCTAGCTGTTCGCACGTGGGCAATAGGATGCCTGCGGCTGGTTACCACACATGCACCCATGCAAGTGCAAATGGCTCAGAGAAAGGAGCTGTGACAGATAAAAGGTATTCCAGTCTTCCTTACCATTCCGCGCCAAAATGCATGGGTCTTATTACTCATCACTAGGTCTTATTATAGGGTAGGGCTTATATTTAACAAATGCATAGAAATCCTGCTAGGGCTTATTTTTTGGGTAGGTCTTATTTTGGGGGAAACACGGTAGCTATGGATGCTCAGCTGACTATAAGGAATCTTAATCTACCTATCTCGGTGTAATAAAGCAGCCCATGTATTCAATCCAAGTTCTAACTTCTCAGCATGTAAAGGCCTAGTTTGCATGCAACACTCACCTTGGCTTCTTCAGGTGTAATACGATGAACAGCAAAACGGCCTTTCGTGTCATAAACCAGACGGAAATTCTCTCCAGTCTTGTCAATGCTGATAACATC